TTTTTAAGTCTGCTGCTTTTATTGTTGACAAATTAATTGTAGAATTTGAGGATTTCATTCTTACAGCAATTGAAATTTGTTCTTGAAGTTTGTGTTGTTCAAATACATTGACAGCCCAAAACAAATATGATAAATCTTTACGCCATCTACTATCTGCAGACATGATTCTATTCTTAAAGTATGATAATACAGAAAGTTTTGCTTCTCTTTCTTCTTTCAGTCCATTGATACCATAAGGAAACAACCAAGGAAAACACATTTCCTCTGCTTTAGGGTGGTTAAATATATTGATAGGTTGAGATTGAATCCTAGGCAGACTTATGACTGGTACTTCATTGAAGTTGTGATTTATGTAATCATTGATCGATATATTTGGTGCAACATAACTACTAGGAATGAACGATACKCTGTTGGTSAATGCAGAACTAACACTGGCATCATAATTATTACACTCGGAAAGAAATGAATAGACATATTGGCTTTTGTCAGAATTCAGTGTTTGTTTAGGAAAGTTTATGTTAATGTCATGATACAACTCATTGTTTGTTTTTAGCCAAAGGAGACTTTCTTCAATTCGTATTTTAGAGACAAGTTTATTTATTTGCTCACTCTGATTATCATCGTTCATTGAAATGTTTTTTTTTTCTGGCATCTTAATTGCAATTGTATTGATGTCTGGGTTGCACGGAAGTTTTTTATATAACTGACATATATCTATTGGGAAATTTATAACCATTCCATCTTGAGCATACTGACTCCCAGCAGGAAGGCTCACAATAGTCATAAAAGCATGAATTTGGCTAATAAATCTCTTTWCCATGAAATTTAAGACTTTTAAACAATTTGGAACTTTACCAWCTTCAGTTTTATTCAGAAAACTTGCTTCAGGTATTGAATGCTTCTGGATTCGTTGACAGCATTTATTGCAACGTTCAGCAATTTTGGTTTGTGTTTTTTCAAAAATTAATTGGTGCAGTTTTGAAGTTGATGGTGACAAAAATAGCTGTTTTCCTTTATTTTTAAACAGAAGTTCCCCACAAACAATGCAAGACATGAGCTTTGTAATGTTAATGTCGTCATAAAATACTTTCCTTATTTTTTGTAAATTACTAGTGCAGCTTGGTTGTGCATGTACACCAACATTTTCTAGCTTTTGGTTTTTGTTATTAAAGCTGCTACATGTATCCTTCAGACTTGATTTTTCATTGTTTAAACCTGTTTCAGATTCTACTTTGTTTTTCTTTGCCTTTCTATAACTTTGTTTTTTTGGTTTTCTAGTATTACAATTATACAAATTGTTATGAAATGAAATCATGTTCTCATTTACAAATGATAACTGTGAATTTGTTTGAAATTGGTCTGTTCTTAGTTCAAATAGTGTCATTTGTGAAGCATTTGTACAGGGTACAAAGTGATTTGGCTGCCACATTTGATGGTGACCAACACTGGTATTTGTCCACATGATATGTATTTTATGATTAGGGAAAGCATTCAATCTTGGAAGCAAATCACGATTCATGACGTAGCGTAGAAATGATCGAGTGGGAATTCCTACTTTCATGTCTGGATATATTGATGTAACTTTGCACTGTACAACTGAGCTTAAAGCACAAACATGCCACATTCCAACCCATGAATGTATTACTAGTGAGCTGTTGATACAGTTATTTATAGCTATTCTGCAATTCTCTTTCAGTGTAAAGTCAATATTGTCAAATACTGAAGAATTTGAACATGACGTGACTGCAATAAATGGTATAATTGAATCATCACGTACTCCACATAAGTTTGCTTCATCAAGATACCAGTCAGTGTGTTCTAAAAGCTCAAGAATAGTTCTAACTCTTAGTTCTAAATGATAGTCTTGAGTGCCAAATAACAGTAAGCTAAATGCTCGAAAGCAACAATTTCCATCTCCTATTGTGTTTATTGGTAACAAATGACAAGGAGCATCACTTGGGTATATGGCTTTTGAAACAGTATCAATTATTAGTGTCTGTTTCCTGATAAATCTGGATGGATTATATATGTCTTCAATTGTTTCAGAAATACTATGAGCAACATTTTTTAGAGG